TCGTCGATGTATTCGCCAAAGTAGAGATCGAAGGATTTATCGGAACCGAAGTCAAACGAGTTGCAGTCGCATTCGCAGTCGGAACTTGAGTGGAATCGTCCGCCGCCATTGGTGAAACACGAACTTGAATCAATGAAAAAAATACGAATTCGTGAATGAATGAAAGAAAAGAACTCGAATCTGAGTTTACTCAGAAAATGAAGAAATATTGGATCAATCATAATGCTTTCTCCAAAGAAAAGTGAAATCGAGGATGCGGAAGATGAAATCGAAGCTGAATCTAACTGATTCTTAGCTTGATACCATATTAGAACTCAGAAATGATGAATGTAAACGATGAACATGAGAGAGTGTAAAGTTTGTTACGTTGATCTTAATGTTCTGAGTTATCTTTACAAAGTCTGTTACAATCAATAATATATACGAATCCGGTTTAATAGATAGCTCAACCGGAAATAACCATTATCCTAATAATATATCTGCAAACTATAAATCTTCAATCATATAAACAAAAAATGGTGACCTTGTGATTACTAAAATAGTTACAAAATTACAACAAAAATATGCGTCTATGTCATAATGATGGTGTCGAAATCCTCATAAACTCTTAATTATGTCTTGTTTTCCCCTCCAAATTACCAAGAAAACAGCTACATTTGGTTTGGGAAATTCAAACACGCCGGTTTAGCCAATCCAATATGACTCCAGCGATAATTCCTCGTTCCGGTTCAAAGAGGAGATCGTGCAACAACCCATCAAAAAGCTTGATCGACTTATCGGACGAGGAAGCCTCATCGTATAGTCTCTGAGTAGCTTTAGGGTCTGTAACCGTATCAGCTGCACCGTGCAAGACAAGAAACGGGACCTTGATTCTGTTTAGATTCCGCAGTAAATGAGAACCAAGTCTAAGGATCTCGTAACCGGTTCTTGCTCGGATAGACCCCGTGTAGACTAACGGGTCAGAGTATTTAGCTACGAGAGCTTCCGGGTCACGAGAAACCGGCATTATTTTCTTCTTTGCAGCACTTAACTGGTATCTCGGTATGAGGATCGCGAGGAAAGGTGCAATTACCTGTTGATTAAAGTTGGAATGTCTTCAAGACGAAAGCCAAATAACGTTGAGATTCTTGAGGTTTTTCAGGTTTTGACTTACGCGAAAGATAGGATGAGATGGTCGGACTCCAACTGCAGGTGAAGTTAACACAATCCCTGCAACTCGAGCTTCGATCTTTGGATCTAGCATAGCCTGCAAAAATGGTTTATATTGGTCAACATATGGTTTCAAGAGCAATGATATGAACATGTTTAAAGATTTTTTTTTAACCTTTAAGATGATAGCTCCTCCTGTTGAGTGGCCAATGCAGAAACAGGGCAGTCCCGGGTTTTCGGCAATTACCTTCTCAAGAAACGAGTTCTGCAAATATTTTTATTTCAGATGTAATGTGATGTTTAAGCGAATGGTAGAGTCTTGGAAACTTAAAAAGAGATTATATACCAAATCAGCGACAGCATAATCAAGAGAAGGAACATAAGCATGAAGTCCATCGCTTCCACCATGACCTGTTCAACCAAGATAAAACTTTAACGAGTCACGAAACAGAGAATTTCTACACTGGTAAAATGCTTAACACGAGCATAACTTAGACTCGGTAAAGTGGCACTACCGATCCAATCTACTCCATAGACTTTGAATCCAATAACATTTAGCTGCTTTGCAAAATCACTATACCTACCACTGTTGAGCGTTTGAATAGATTCAAGTTAGGCTTTCTTATTTGGAAGGAGAATTCATGATCAAATCAAAAGCTAAACAACAAACCTGTGTTCGTTCAGACCATGTAGCAAAACAACAAGCCCCCTACAAGCAAGCTCACAGAAATATATCAGCTTTAAGGCCTAAGAAACCAAACAGGAAATAATAGAAGAAGACTATATAAACAAGAGACTAAAGATACAAAAACTTGATAAATAGGTGACGTAAAGTTATATACTCAAGAGACCTTGAAGATCAATGTATAACATAAACAATGAAGACTTGGTCAAGAGAAAGCATAATGAACCCATGAACTTGGTAATAACAACTCAATGGATCATGATATCTTAACATCCTTAATCATGTTAATCTAATAGCTCTTATTTTAAAGCAAACAAATGAAATCTAATTAAGGAAACCATTGAATACAAGGTAACAGAGTTAGGACCAGCTGAGAAAAAGACATGAGAATCCAAGAAACACCAAAGAAAAGGACAATTTTTCTTAGTCAGAATTAAAGCTCAAATTCTCGAGAACCACAAGTCTCGAGACAGTCAGAGAGGAGGGACCTCTTCTTGTTGTGTTTCTCAACTAAATTTCAATGGAAACAATCCAATCAATCAATAACAGACAAAACAAGTAATAAATAAACGAAATTTCGTAGCAGAAATTGACCTGGTCTTGACGGACCCAACAGGTGTCCATGACTGAGTGAACAACGTGTCGCCTCTCTTTGTCGTGAAGATCGAGAAATCTCTGACGGAGATTCCATCGCCACCGTTATCCTCCAAAACCCTCCTCGTTGCCAAATCCCTTCTAACCGCCACTTCCTCATCGACCACCGTCGTCTTCGTCGGTGAAGAGGAAACGCCGCCGCACCCGACCCAAACTTTCCTCTTCTTCTGTTTGGTGACGACGACACGGAGGAGAAAGAAGATCAAGGCTTGGATTACTGTAACGAAGCGGTTAAGCTCTCGTATAGAGAAGAGAGCAGTGACTCGATCACTGGCTACTGATGTTGTCCGAATCAACGGTGGTGGTTTTGATCTCATTGTCATCGCCATTGATGATGATCGTCGACGAGCTCTGACATTAACCGGGAGATGGTTTCGAATCCGGTTTACATGAAATCCGGAAGATTTTCTGATGGGTAATCTGGGGAATGAGTTTGCAGTAGCTAGTACGATCGTTCCTCTACTTGAACAGATCATAAACGAAAGAGAATCAAAAGACGATTTTTTTTTTTTGAAATTAGGAGAATTTGTGACTTTGAATCGGAACAAAAATCCAAATTTAGGGGTTTTTTTCTCTGGATGATGATGAACAGATTAAAAAAAAAACCAGAGCTCAAGAAGAAAAATTGATCAATATGCAGTATCGACAAGACAGTGAAGCAATTGGGAACTGATAATCTTTTAAGGGTTAATGTATGAGATAACCATATTGAGTCATAAAATAGAAAATATAGCCATGGAAAAACCATAATAAAGTGACTAACCAATTTTTATGCAAATTGACCATTATAGGTTTCTCAAGAGAAAGAGATATTGCCACATCATCTCATCTCTTTTATTCTCTGTATTTTTCCAACATAATTCTTTGTTGATATTCTAATTCTTTTCTTCATGGCTTTAATCTTATATTTACCAATTTGATTCAATGTTGAAATCTTAGTATAAGAACCTGTTTTTTTTTTTCATCTAATATATAAATATATTTTTTAAACGGACACAAAAACATGGGTTTGTGTGGTTGTAATTAAGAATGCGTGGTTCTATTGATTGAGTGACAAAACTTATTCATTAGAATAATACAAAGCTATTACTAGAATAGGATTGCAAATGTTCCAATGATCATAAAACTTTAACAAGTAGATGAACATGTATCCACCAACAATTAGTAACTAATAAGTGTACAATGTCAACATATATATCAATAACACTAGAAATACAAATTATGTATTTTTCATATACAAATAGAATAGAATAGACTACATATATAATAGAATAGACGCGAAATTTGTTTGTTATATATTTGTTTTGCGCAGTTCTTGGCCGTTTTCAAAAATTCAAAACACCGTATGTGTAGAAAAAAATCTATAGTTTGTCGGTGCTATTATGAATCCGAATCAAATATATTTTCAAATATACAAATCAAATAGAAAAGAAATGGGGTACAAAAAAGAAGGAAGAGAAAATAAGTAAAAAAAAAAAAGAGGAAAAGCTTACAAATATGCGTGTGTGTCTGTGTGAATAAGGATAGGGTTAGTGTTTGTAATTAATACATAAAATATGAAGAATATCATGGTCAACTCTTTTTTATGATATCTACTTAATTTATAAATTTTTGTTGGTTTATTTCACTTAATTTCCCAACAAAAAGATCTATTTTTTTCCTACAAATGGCACCAAATAATAATTCTCCTACACAAAATTGTTTCCAAAACGCAGCGTTTTTCGAAGTGCTGGTTAGTTAGGACTCGTTTGAGCAAAGTAGATTCCCACAAAAATATACCAACGATTCCAACATAGTACAAATATGAGCATTGACTTGGCCTCAATAGAAATTATACGATTCGTGTAGTTTTACAAATAGTAAAAATAAAACACATTCTTCAAAGATGAAGGAGATTAGAGATGTTGTCCCAACCAATGTTCCACTGTCTTTTATCTGAAGGCAGAGCGAAGTTGAGCTCAAACATCTCTTTAGAGATGTTACCACTTTCACAGAACCCAACAAGCTTGGCAACTATCTCTGCACTCTCTTGCACGTGCCTTGAGTCGTAAGGATCTGTCCATAGCTTGTTCACGAACTGTAGTTTCCTCTGTTTCCCTTCTAATGGCACATCCCATTTCATATACAGCTCCTCTCTCTCCTCAGTCGTCAATCTCGAGTTAACCCTTCTCGCCAAAAACTCCCTCTCTCTTCTCAATGCTTTTATACTGCATAAACAAACAACATTAGCTTGCTTCTTGTGATTAATGCCAGAAAATTTACTTATGTGTGTGTTTTTGTACCTTGATGATAGAGATACTACTGCAGGTTCTTCGCCAATTCGAGCTGGAGTTGCGTTACCTACTTCTGCTAGATGTTGTTCTAACCAAGTTAACCGTCTTAGCTCCACTTCCATGTAGATTTGATCGGCTTGATCACCTTTGAACAGTAGATAAAACTGTGTCCTGTGGATGATTGAGACATGGCAGACATGCCAAAGCTCTATGATCTGTTGTCTTTCCTCTATGAAAGTTATATGCCACGCGACTTGACTCTGCTCTTCGTCTTCCTGTATCGTGTTCTCCTCGTTCTCTACGCTGTATCCAGCTCCATCATTGGCTTCCAACTCAAGCACCTAACACACAAGTTGATAAATGATGATGAGCTTTTCGTTTTGTTATAAAAGGATAAAAAGAGATGGTTTGTATTCTTTGACTAACCTGACAAACGAGAAGTTGTTTCTGGTACTGTAGTTTAGCTACACGTTCTTTGAGTTCGGTTACGTAAGCTCTTATGCTTCTCACGTTCTCCTCTGCTGCGTTTTGGAACATTTGCTGCATTTTCTTCATGTTCACTGAGCTTGATCTCCTGTAACCTGGAGTGCTTTCTCTTGACGAGACNTCTCCGCTTTCTTCTCCTTTCTGTGGAGTCTCTTTCTCAGACCCTTGTGGTGTCGTTGTCCCTCTGGTTGCAGANTTGTTGTTCTCTTGAGGAGCTTTGTTCTCAGCATCACAATCCAAGACTTGCCTAGTAGCTGAAAGAGGAGAGCATGGAGATTTCAAGAAATTCTGGCGGTTTGATACGCTGCTTGGTGTCAATGGAAGAAGCTTCTTCTTCTTTGAATGATGATGATGATTCTTTGTCTTTGGTGTTTCATCTCCAGCGTTGCCTTGTTGAAGAGCATTGATATTGCTTGGAAGAGACATCACCAGCTTATCAATTGATTTCTGAACACTCTCAAGTTGCTCCTCTAGATTTGCAATGGTGCTTCCTTGTGAATGGAGCCTTGTTATCTCTTCCTTGAGATTGGCACTTACACTCTTGTTAGGAGCTATGACATCTCCAACATCTTTAAGCATTGTGGATGGTTTAACAGTACGCATTTCCCTTATCTCTGCTTGAAGCTTAGCGATCGTCTGTGCTGCATCTTGGTTCCCTAGTCTATGGCAAGCTACTTCCTTCTGTAGCACTTCAAGAGCTTTTGTTGCTTCCTCCCCTAACTGTTCTTGAAGGTGTTCAAGTTTGCGGATCTCGTGCATCAATGCAAATGGAGCTGTTGATGATTGCCTTATCATAGATTGGCGTAACGTAGTCTTTCTTGCTCTCTCATTCCGATTTAGTATTTTGTTCTCCGCGCTAGGAGTCAATGCAACAGAATAGGAAAGACATTTTCTGACTGGTGGGTCTGGTGATTCAAAAGGATTTAAGCCCTGAGATACAAACAAAAGGTTTAAGCTTCAGCCACAGCTTGTGAATATATATTTATAGAAACAGTAGAGGGAAAGAGAGGTAGAGACTTAGGGACCTTATTTGGTTGTTGATCCCCTTGAAGCTTTTGGCGCAACTCCTCAAGTTGGACTTGTGCATCATCTCTTTGTCTCCTAAGTTCTTCGATTTCCATTTCCATCTGAAAATGACACAAAACAGCGATAAACTAAGCACCAAAGCTTTGGTTCAATAATACAAACTTTCGGAGTTTGGACAAGACTGAAGTGGACAGAAACCTGCTGGATCTTGAAATCCTTTTCTCTTGATGGATCAGGAGTGCGACGCTCTGCCTCCAATCTAGCCACTTCTTTCTGAAGATGCTTCACTAGTTGCTTATCAGAGACAACCTATAGATAACAGATATACCAGTAAGTAAATATTTTTGTTTGTTTTCATCCAAAAAAAGCAGTAAAAAGAACCAAAAGATCATTACCATGTTCACATGGGCATTGTTTGTAACTTCCTTGGCTCGGTTAGCGAAGTACAGAGTATTTCTTGATTGTTCTACATGAGTCAGAGCTGGACTCAATGTACATATAATGGCTGTTCGAGCATTTCCACCGAGTGAATGCTGTAAAATCCGAGTAAGCTTGGAGTCTCTGTACGGTATGTGGCCACTTTTTTTCCCCACACTATCAAGAGTTTACAATATCAGATCAAAGAAATTTATTACTTCAAAAAAATTGTGATTTCAGTGTCACTTTCGACATGTAAATGTAAGAGCCTTACCTTAATTTCCTTATGACAGTTGTAAGTGTCATTAGACTTAGATTGATATGGCAACCTTCCCTCAGTCTTGTTCCATCTGCCTGTGACTGTGACGCTCTTTCACTTCCTGCTAAGTCCACAAAGTTCTGCAATACATTCACATACCCACTAATTAAATCCACAAAGCTCTGGTTAAATTTCTTGCAAAAAGAAAAAGTGAACATAGAGGAATCTCTTCTTACCAGACTAGCCATGTATGACCTCACACAATCTGAATTTTCTCGGTGAGTACTTTGTATTGTCTGCTTTGCCATCAAGAACTTGTTATTAGCATTATGCAGGGTATATGGAATTTTGTTTCAGGAAAGTAATGAATCAAGAACATTACCAGTCTGATTATTTGGTGTGACCGCGAGCTGGTATCATTCAAAGCAGTTTCTCCAACTTGCCTTTGAGCTAGCAAAATGGTGGCATCAAGAATAAAATAAAGGCCAGCAATCAGAAATGTTGAACTTCAATAAAATAGGAGAAGACAATACACGAAGAACCTATAGAGATGCAACAAGTTCAAGTTACCTTCACAAATGCTAATCAAATGCCGCAAGTGTTGATCATTATTAGCTGTTTCTTCTACAAGTTTTTCAACCACAGTACCTTTCTGCAATTGCAGATCACAAGGTTATTAGATAAATGAAAGTGTACATTCAATCAAGGCCATAACATCACNAACAAAAATGACTAATACCTCTGGATCATCAAGGAGTTTAAGGGCGCGCCCGGAATCAGAATTCAGCAGATCCCTGACATTTTCATTATATATTTCCAGACCAGAAATCTTGATAGTAAACTCTCTTTCAGGTGTCTGGAAACAGCAGTGAAACAAAAATGATATTTGTCAAAAGAATTGCATTGACATCTAAGCATTGATTTTCAACTCTGGTTCATAGCAAATGCTTACATTGATTATGTGATTGTAAATATCATTGACAGCTTTCTCCGTTACTCCTCTCATGGTAAATGTCTTCCCACTGCTCGTTTGTCCATAGGCAAATATTGTTGCTGAAACATAGAAAAAGTATTTAGTCATCTATGAGATCAATCCAAGTAAAATCAAGAATTTAGTCATAGAGCAATAACTACCGTTTATGCCCATCAAAGCAGACAATGCAACATTCTTAACACCATCTTCATACACATTCTCAGTTAAAGTCTCTGGTCCAAAAACTTTATCTAAAACAAAAGGATGCATTAGTCATTAGATTCCTCGGGAAATAAAGAGTTAGAAACACACCAAACAGAGAAAAAGCAGCTTAATTTACCGAACGTAAATGATGACTGATGATGCGAACGTTCTTGAGCTTGTGGTTTAGACACAATGGTGTGGTCATCTACACATTCCCAAGCAACTTGGTCTTTAGCTAACTGTTCTTTCTTGTTCAGTGGCCTTAACCTTACAGTAACAACAATCTTCTCCTCCCTAGATCTTGAGCTTCCACCTGGTGTTGTTACAGCTTGTGTTCTGTCTATCTTTGAAACCGGAGTTCCAGGAGTTCTCATTGTTATCTCCCTGCGATTGTTTCCCAAAAAAAAAAATATATATTCATCAGATCTAAAAGATAATCTGAATTCCAGCTTAAAATTTCCACAAATCTAAAGGATAATTACAAAATCACTCAGATCTATGCGAAAACTCATAAAAGGAAACATTTTTAAATGGAATTTCGTCTTACCCAGACTTAATCCGTATAAGGTAATCTTAGTATGCTCATAAAAGGCAAAAATCCAGAAAGGTTGAAACTCGAAACTTCCCAAAAAGATTCACTTTACGAAACAGAAACAACGAGAAAGTAATTAAGAGATCGAATCGAACACTTACAGAGATCCCAGGCAGCGAGGAATATAGAAGAATTATCTCAGATCGATCGATAGAAACAGTAAAAAAAGAATAAAAGAAATATGAGAGAAGGAGATTAGTGAGAGAGGTTTCGTGGTAGAGAT